ACAAGAGATCTGGCAAGGAAGAGAGAAGTTTTTACCCGTTGAATCAAGGGGGGTCTTTATGAAAACCAGTATATTGACACTTTGACTTTCCACTGTTTCCAACATCTAAGGTAAGTTTTATTCTTCATGGTTTGCTTTCCTGAAATCTTAAGGTTAGTAACCTTTCGCAAGTTGCATGCTACTGGGTGCATTATCTTACTAACTTATTTCTATTGATGTTGAGAGTGTGCTTGAGTGTTATTGACTCAAAACGAAAACATCGGTGCAAAATATCAGAAACCTAGACATCTGACAAAATTCTGTTGCCCGTTCTTGCATGCACAATGCAATCTCAATTGTTCATTAAGATGTTGGAAACAGTGGAAAGTCAAAGTGTCAATATACTGGTTTTCATAAAGAACCCCCTTGATTCAACGGGTGAAAACTTCTCTCTTCCTTGCCAGATCTCTTGTACAGTGGGCCTGTAGTTCAAGGTGAATGATGCAAATCTCCATATCTACTCTGGCATTCTTTGAGATAAAACTTGTCATATATATATATACAGTATAATATAGTAGTGGTAGTAAAAATAACCCATGCTTACCCCTTTTTTTAAGTTCTTGACAACCTGTATGTTTTTTTCCCAATCTATCCAAAGAAAATAAACTCCTATAACAACCTTTTCTCCCTTTACGCATACTGTGTATCTCTGATTTAATTATAAAAGTCTGCATTATAATTAACATCTGAATTTGGTGTTCAGTGACAGACCCCTAACAATGTATCCTTCTATCATATCTATCATATGAGACTTTTTTAGTCCAACCCATACAGATTCTCCATATACCAATCTCACTTAGTGGTAATCCATCAAGCTTGTACTGGCTAGCCTTTGCAACAAAAAGCTTTTCCAGTGACAGAGCATGCTGAATCCTGCTTCAGCACACCATGTCTGCACTCATGCAGTTTTCAGATGACCATTTCCAGCTGATCACAGTTGCAGAGTGTAGGCAGGACTCCTGAGAAAACCATGCATTTATTCCTTCTGTCAATTCTTTTCCACAAGGTCTTTAAATCCGTTACACAATAAGAGTGCGCTGTTTATGCCAATGACGAAATGTTTTATTTGCTGGGAGCCTATCTACTACTTGAATGTCAGCCATCTCGGCTGCAGGACGACAGCACAATGTCTGCTGCTCAAAACAAACCACGTCTTTCCTAAGCATTCCCGTTTACAGGTACTGAAGTGAAACAAATTGTCTGGCTTTATGTTTTGTCAATTTGTTAGGATTGGACAATATATTTTAGTTCCTTTATCCACCTGATACTAGCTTCTCTCCCCTTCTGTCTTATTATTCTTACGAAATGGGATGCATACCTCCACAAATGTGGAAATTGCTCATTCGCTGATTTCATGATACTCTTGAATTCCTGTAGCTCCATTTCAATCAGCAACTGGATTTTGTATCAATACTCACAGATATAAATCTTCCAGGATACTCCACTTGACAAGCGACAATGCACGTTTAAAGTGGGTTCTCGTTGGATGCTTTATGCATATAAATGTATGTTTTAGCCCACACTGATTCAGAGAAGTCAGCTTTTATTTTAGGAGATGAGAAGCACTGCAGCTCTCTCTCTCTCTACAGATGCTTACAGTCAGCCTATCTGCCTACCACTGACACCATATCAGCTCCACTCACACAGTACTTCAGTCTTTAAATTAGCCACTAATAGTTGTCAAACTGTCTCGCGTGTACACAAGACCCTACAGCACAGCTCTTTCTAATTTATATCAATCATTTAGATTCAGTTACAGCTAGTAAACTAGAAAGTTTTGCAGATTATACCAAACTGGTCAAAAAGAATTTCAGAAGGACAGATTAAATTCAGGACTGTGCAGATACTAAGGAGATATATGTTGTTAACAAACACAGGATGGTGCATGCTAGGAGTAAAAACAAACTACATAAACCGGAAAACAGATTGAAGAGATTAATACTGTACAATGTACAAGTAAAACCTCAATTAGAATATAATTTTGGTCATCAAATTACAAGAAAGATACTGCTGCGTTACAATTAGTACCAAGAAGAGCAACAACACACATTCCTGAGCTCAAAGCTGTTCTATATTGTCAGGATGTAAGTATTTAACCTTTTTAGGCTTCAACAGAGACTACAAGGTGTTTAAACCTCTAAGGTATCAAGGCAACAGACTCTTTCAGAATTTAAGAAGGAAACAAACAATATGGCACAACTGGAGATTAAGTAGAACTACATTCAAAACTGAAAACAGGAGGGACATCTCCATTTACATATTTTCACCAATTGCTGTGGGAATAAGGAACAAGCTGACCAGCTACATCAAAAACTATTTTCTTCAAGAAACTAGACAAGAACCTTGGATAAATTAACTACTGAAAAAAACATGGCAGACTGGGCTGAATGCTCCTCTCTCATTTGTAACAATTTGCAATTTGTACAGTTTTGCTGTAAAATACTACACTGCAGAAATGCTTTAAGGATACTTTTAACTAGAGTAAATTCACAAAATCCTGATGCACGTATCTAATTTGAACAATTACTAAATACATAGGCACACTTACAGAATAAATCCACCAAACATATGACGAGTATTATCACTGATGCCATAGATCTGTTATTGTGGTTTTGGCAGCTGGCTGAGGGAAGGTTCGTAGAGTCTTTTTCACAAGCGTGTATTTATTTTTTGATAATACCCAACCATAATTTAGTCTTTAAGCTAGATAACACATCATTACAAAAATACAAAATTAAAATCTAAAAATATCCTGATCACCCATGTTAACCTGTCTGCAATCATTACATTCTTGAAGATATGACACGTTAATTTTAACATGCTGCAAGCTGAACAAAACACACCTTTCCTGGAACCATATTTCAATCATTTAACTTTTAAAAAGGAGAAAGAGGAGTTGCTTTATAAAGCCATAACTTAAAAGCTCTTTGGTTTTATCCATTTCAAATACCTTAAGTGTAAAATTTTGTTTAAAATGTTGCATATTTTACATGAATCCACCTACACAGTTCTATACATTTTAGGACCACTCAAATGGAGATTTATTTGAGACCACTGCAAAATACTTTCCCATGTGCAAGAAAAGCAAGCAGCATTTCTAATGCTGAAGTTGATCCATTTTCCATTCTACTGCTTTGTTGATTGCTCTTCAGCTGAATTGTAACAGTAATATCGTAGATGCCTGCCACAGAAGAAACCAGGGGAATATGCAAAAGCAGCCAAATAAATTAAATCTGTAACCTGACTCCTATGTAAACCACCAAATGTGCTTTCAAAATCACATAATATAATAATTAGTTTGCATGTGAAAATTATCGATTACTTTATTCCCAGATGCTTCAGCTTTGTAGTACCTAAGCTACCTGAAAAATATTCTCTGCTTTAACTAGTTATGGCTTTAATCCCACGATGATAATTTAAAGTTTAAAGAATAAATAACTTGTTTACTCCACCATTTCAAACCACTAAACTATCATTTTTTTCACTTTTCCAAAAGAATTTTTGTTTTAGTTTTTTTTTTAACTTTTCATAAAAGATTACTGAGGTGTATTCACCTGATCTAACATAACATTATGAGTCCTGCACTGTGCTGATAATATACCACACAAGACTGCGACTCTTTCAACTCTAGTGCAACCCATCTATTAGTTGAACAAATTGTGAAATGTAGTGAACACCAGGGTCCTGTATTGAGAAGATAGCAGGGTGGGAACCATGTCGTGTGACAAACTAATTCGCTCTTATCCAAACAGCATTGTTACCTCGAAACTAAGGCCTACTAAAGAATTTGAAATCATGTCAGTTACAGTAGAAGTCGCTACAGTAAACTTCAAAATTACCAACAGCTACTAATCTTGATTGGGTGAAACAAAACATCCTTTCTGCTTATTTGTTTCTCTTCATGTCAATTCACTAGAGCAACATGGATCTGTTGAAAATTGCTCAAATCTTAATATTTTGTTTTTAGACAGATGACTTTAATTACAGCATACTTAAAGTTTTACCCTAACTCTTGGAATATGAAAGAAAACAGCAGTAGTCGCAGAACCAATTTCATATGTCGAGCGGCAGCCACGCATTCCTAAAAAGCTGGAGTCTCCAGCAGCTATGACCTCATACTGAGAGGGCAACAGCCTTAAACATAGAGACTGACAGCATCAAGTTAAGATGCTGATAACCTTAGCACCAGAAGGTAAGTGACAGTTTAATGGCAGCCTGCTTCATACCGAGTCATTTTACTACTATAGTATTATACTATACTATAGTACTAGAGTATACGTTTTTGTTCCTGTTTTGCCACTACAACTTGCAGTTATCCTTTCTCATGTTGATCAAGGACATCGTGGATCATGATCACCTTTTAATTACTGCTGCTGTTTCTCAAAAGTTCACTTGTATCCATTGCAAGCACCCTGGCAGAAAGCTATGTATGAACTGAGACTCTACATCTAAACCTATTTTAATTCAATGAAATGCTGGCTGCATGTATTGATTTATTTCCTGCTTTGCTTTTTGACAAACAGAATGTGCTCATTTCACCTTTTCCTTGCTAGAACTGACCAGAAACAAACAAAGAAAAACTACCAGCATATAAATTTGCCCTCAGCATGGCAAAACCTGCTTGTTTACAGAGCAACAGGTTGTTTTGAACAGAAATAAGTCTCACATATACATGCACAACTCCAAGAGGCACACGCTTGAGATAAAATAAGTTATGCTTAAATATTCCGTTTTCTGACTTGACTCAAAATGTTTGGCTCTTGAGTGTAAAGCACCACAAGCACGTCAGAGATCCCTGGTGACTATTCTCTTTCACGCAGTTCTAAACTTAGCAGTCAGGAATGCAGACCTGGGCTGTATAACCTTCCATGCCTCACTCCATCACAAAAAAAAGTTACTGCTTTTTCTCTTTCCTGCTACTGCCACCAGCAGACAATGCAAAGACTTCTGAACAGCCTCACCTCTCTTGCTGTGGAAGTCCTTCCGGGCTGTGCTCTCCTTCAGGCTGAAAAAAACATGGATGCAGAATGAATTAAAAATTCAAGGGCACTGAAACGCAAAGAATTAAAAAACTCCAGTTATGTGTAGCAAACATTAAAATGTCACATTTAAGCTCATGATGCAGCATCCTATGAAAAACACAGCATATGCACATGCTGATATTTAATTAAATGTTACAACTGTTCAGAATATTTACCACAATCATTTACTAATATTTAGAAATTAAGGAGTAATGATTACCAGTGCAGTATACACTGTATATTAACAAAACATGTTACAGTACTTGTTTAACAATAAAATGGCTGATGTACAGTATGACGCTATATAGTAAAGGGTTTACAATGAAAAATTGCTGTACCACACACATAAATTTACAGCTCCAGTACAGATGCAGACTTAACCATGAATTAAATCCACAATGAACTGCAACACAAGTCCAAATACAGACACACAAGCCTACAACTACTAGGCATGGAAAAATGACACTGCCAACATCAAAACATCTTTATTTACATAAGTCTGTGAGCAGACGGAGTGTGTACACAAAAGGTATTCCTAGATATTGTGCTTCTCATATCTTTTCATGAATTACCTGACTTACAAACTATCCAAATTACAAAAACAATGATGCAATGAAAAGTTATAAGGACACAATGTTTCTATCTTTCAAAATATATATATATATCTAACATCCAAGTGTTTCAAAGTGCCTATTCTGTGTGATATTGTAAGTGGTTTGAAGGGGGAAGGTATGTGCTCAAGAATAAAGCATCTTTTTCAGGAAACGTGCTTGACAAAGTCAGAAATGCTGTTGCCACTTTAGCTTAACATCCTTCTGTAAAACCAACTAATCTGACTCCCACTGCCCCTGTCAATATTATCAGACAATAACACTACTGAGATGTTTAATTGCCCAATACTAACAGCAGGTGAATTCCAACCACTCTGTGTCTCATTTTAAACAAATGTCCTTCAGCGTTCCAACATGTTTAATACCCTTTTTGGGCATAGGAATGAATCTTAGATGTGCTATATATATATATCTCTGATTACCACATAAAAATCACTTTTGATATTAAATGTGTTGCCCTTTAAAAAGACTTTAAAATCCACTGAAAATGTTAACTAAGTCAACTGGAATTAAATCAACACCTAGAGAGTAGATATCCGTTCAAGATGAAGTGACATCATAATTATAATGATCATTAAGACTGGACTGCTATTTCCATGTTTGCCTCTTTTAGTTTTTAAAACCATTTAATAATTAAATGGGGAGTAATCATTGCAAGTGAGCTTCTCATCATCTTGAAAATAGCTCCTACGAATTTAATGTTACAAGATGTAACAGCTACAGATTCTGTTAAGAGTTTAATACTTTTCCTTTCACTTATTGCATTATTCGATAATCTGTCATGACTACATACACAGCCTCACATTTTCATTAACTATCCTGCATGTGGCACACTTTGCAAGCTCCTTCAGGCAAACCACTGTCAATCTCTCTAAAAAGAAACACTAGAACACAAACTGTTGTGTTGTGTTGTGTTCGGGTATGCAAATAATAAAAATTGACACAAATAAGGGGGCACTCAAAGATATTGTGGATTATAACTGCCTAACCCTGTTCAAGGTATGTCATGTTTAAAATAGCCAGTTGCACACATTAGGAACTTAGGAATTACAAACATTAGGAACTTTTCAGAGTCTTTTTAGCACAGAAATGTTTCAAGCATCAAGACACTATTGCATTACTACCACAATGACAGACATAGCATCTGTATTTTCAAGTAACTGGACATCCCCAGACAAGAAAATCCATGGTTTTCAGCTTTACTGGCTGTAACTATCAAAACATTCAGTTCACAGTTCCATGTTTCTCACACTGCCAACAATATACAGCCTTTTCCATTTCATTCCTTCATTTAATCCTGAGTTAAACATAACTTTAACAAAGATGTAGTGCTGCCTTCAAGACAAAACTTGTATTTCTTTTCAATACACATGATCTTGAAAACCCTGATTCAGGAGGCAAGGCATAAGATATTAATGCCAAGAACTATGTCAAAACTCCTTGTATAAAAGGTCCCACAAGCTTCATTTTTTATGCCATTTAAATATCTGGAAAGATTTTGCAGTACAAAACTCAGAATACTGAGTGGTTTGGGATTACAAGGGTAAACAATTTTAAATCCCCAATCACAACCTGAGTTTATAAATCTTGAGGAATAACTGCTTCAAACTAAAAATTAAAAGCATCAAAACTTTAAAGATAGAAATGTGATATACATGTGATACTCTGAGAAAAAAAAACACCTGAAACCTAATAAAGAATATAATCCATTAGCATGTCTTGCACTGAACATGTTCACACTTAATTCAACACAATTGTGTAATGTATTGTACCTCTGTCTTGGGTATTATTGGTTGTTTAATAAGATCCAGACACATTCAGGTGGTTTACATTTCTAACCACTTTTACACTCAAACAAACCTTTATGATAAAATTGTTACTGCCCAAAAACTAAAATTGCACAAGCTGCGTGTCGACTCAATCAAGTCAAATGTACTGGAAAATACTAGTCTACAAAACAGCTTCCCACGAGTGCTGTGCACTGTCATCCAAAAACTAACTTCAAAAACCCAACCCGTGTGACTGGTTATAATTTGCCTATAGACCCCGGTCTGGACAATATATGGCCTGCAACTACTGCGTATCTGATAACATACGCTCCAAGACAGCCCAACATTAACCTTGCACAGTCCATCGTATTTTAATGCCAACTAACAGAAACTTGGTAGACCAGGCCACATGGCCAATATTTAAGGTGCACGGTGACTGAGCCCCGGTGAACTCTTCCCGCCGGTTCTTCTTCTAATCATCAAAGCCCCACGTGTAGTACAGTGATCACAGACCAAAAAACAGTATTACGGTTACTTAGAGCCACTGTATACTAGGTACCTACTAGCAACGACTCAAACCTGACGACAATTAAATGCACGATGCTAGAAGGTCAAGGATTTAGAGCACCATCTGAATTCACATGCTACCACAGATTTCGAGAGTGAACCACGCAACCGTGGGTTTTGCGTGGGGCTTTCCTTGCAAACAATTCGGCACTCAAGTAATTACAAGTAACAGCAAGAAAGCAAAGTTGAAAAAGTTGTAGTTAGGTTCTCTCACCTGTGTGGAGACTAAGAGCTCTTCATCTGCCTGCCAGACCTCCACCACGCTGGACATCTGAGCAAGAGCTTGGTTGAGAAAACAAAAAGAATTCGCAGCGTAAAAACATGAAACCCAGCAAAGGGGAAAATTAAGAATCAGGAAGTAAGCCCTGTAAAAGAGAAACCTTTTGGTTATGTCTCTTACAGACGGCTGGGCAAGCGTGTGTGTGTTCTTATATGGTAATATAGTTAATATTCAACCTTAGTTTTGCTTTTCAGGATAAAAAAGAGAACCTTTACATACGGAAAAAATGGTTCTCTTCATCAATACATTTTAAAACGCTTCACTAAAAGAATGCCTTCAAAATAGCACTCCACTTTTTTGGACCTTTTAAATATTCGTATGCATTTGCCTTAAAACCTAATATTAATGGTCTGTTGCACAGAAAAAAACGTTTCTACAGATGGTTTATCAACACAGGAAACTACGCTGCGAACAATACCAATTTGTTCAAAAGGAAGACGGTAAAATGCCTGGTAACTTCGAAATCAAAACAGGATCAACTGGAAAACAATGAACGGTATTAAATATTTAATATTTATACAAAACAACATCCCAAGAAGAGGTAACTGAAACATTCTCCTCTTCGCAAAACGACTTCTGTCTTCAGATACACTGGTTTGTCAAAACGACTGGGTTGGCAATCCGCTCTTTTCTCGTTAGCGTTAACCGTGGACGAGCTTTTTTAAAACGAAGCTGATCTCCCCAACCTTGTAGCTGAGCCCCTCCTTGGCGAACGCAGGGCGAAAGCAGCTGTAGCACTCCAAATACGAGATTTATCCATGTTTTCCTGTGGCAGTGGCTGCCTTGATAGAAGTCCCTCAGCCCCGCCATGCTGCTCTGTCTGCAGCCAGCCTCGCTGTGTTCTGCTTTCTCGGCCCCCTCCCTCCTCGTCTCTCACACACCCTCCCTCGCACTGTGCGGACTCGTCGGTGCTGACGAAAGCTTAGCAGTGAGGTTCCCTGAAAGTGTGCATCCGTATAGACAAAGCAGAGACTCTCCAGTGAGATACGGATCTATTGCGAGAATGGTAGAACCTCTGAAAAGAGTGCCGTCCAGAAACTACACGCAATGAGACAAATTGAGCACATGGCCTTTCTGAACGACCGCGGCAGCAGTCGGTTAGAGTCGCATGGAAACGTACGCTGCTTACACAGTTCTTTGTCTCTTTGTTTAAAAACCGCCTTGAGAAAACCGTTTCCTTTCCTTATCTTTTGGTTTCACCTAGAAATCTGGCTATAAATAATCCCTGCAAAATTCAATGTTAAACTGACGCTTTATGTAGCTTTGTCATCTAAATTTAAATAGCGTTGTCTTAACAAAAGTAATGACACCTTCCATTATTTTGCTCCCGACTACATTTTTAGCAAGAAATGTGTCCCCTTAATGTATTAATGTATAAAGCGGGTATGGAAATTTAAGAATTTAGCACATTTTAAATACGGCTAAAAATTAAGTAGGCTTTGCAAAAAATATTATGTGGGCCCACTTGGATTTCCAATGATATAACTGAGTTACTGTAAGTGGCTTCTCGTTTACTTTCTTCTTTGGCATGTTTTTTTTCCAGGTCTGTATCAGGATCGTCTGTTTCTAAAGCACTGAGAAAATAAATAAAAGTTATAACTCTTCAAATAATTCTAAATTATTTGTATTACGTATTGTGAGTACAAGAGTATTCCAAAATACTGACGTGTCTCTTTCATAAGCAAAGCAGGGTCCCAAAACTGAAAACGATTTAATACAACTGTGTTATAAGGCATAAGGAAAAGTATTGATCTGTTTCAGAGTCAGGAAGAGCCCAGAGATTCTGGAAGACACAGAAGAGAAGGAGATGAACAACACTACTCAATTCACATTTCAATGTTGTTGTTTTTTTTAAATTAGGAAGTTTAAGAGACACAAATTAGAATTCACAACAATTCACTATGAATGAAAACAGCCAAGAATTGGCCGTGTTCAAAATTTTTTGACTACTTTAAATTACACTTGGCTGAGGGTTAACCTCCTGGTCATAGGACAAGGAGGCTAGAACTCCCATGCAGAGTAAGGTGCGGCCAAGGGCCAGCCGCAGAGGCGGAGATAGGACAGAGGAGGGATGCAAAAGACGAATACAAGGAAGAGAATGGTATCATGTATAATATACTGTATATAATGTTTAAGTGAGGAGATGATGTTATGATTGATTACAAATTACAGATAACTGAGGTTGATTGAACTTGGCTATCCCTCCCAAACGTTTGCTCTAAACTCCACACAGCAAGACATGCAGTCAAACACTCATGACAATACAGGAGGAGTTATCTACAGGATCTTGTTACCATCACTGTAGTTACATAAGTTTGTGTTCATATTCAATTTAAAGCCAATTACAATACCTGCCTAATCAAAATTGTGAGTTTGATATAATCTTGTGAGATCCAGAATGCTCTACCACTACATTCCCAGCTCACACATGCACATGGTTTGTATAGAAACATACTGTATGACCCTGATCAACAGATAAGCACTTTTGGCATTTCTGTTAAACATTATTTCATAAGATCGTTCTCTACTATATATGTCAAGTGATTGAAAGTATGTTTGTTTTGTTTGCAAATTCTGTTAAATGACTGCACACTGCCCTGTCACACTGAGACATCTGAAGGATACATCCTTAACTTTTCTCCTGACTGATTCTAATAATTTTAATACAGCTCATGTGAACACAAAAACAATAGCAGCTTAAATGCACAAATTTGTTTTCATTTAGAAATTACAGTCCAGTTTCACAACAGCTACACCATCTCCCAAAACAGATTATTATCAGAATTGAGTATCATATGGTAGATAAAGAAGAGCTATTTCAGAGATAACTTGGAAAATTTGAAATAATTTCTGTACTATACCTGAAAGATCTCAAATGCTTGGTTGTGTAAGAAGCTATAATGGTACTCTTTACTAATATATCTCTTTTTTAATTGCTTCTGGGTTGAACTAAATTAAGGAAATTGTGAGGAGATTGGGGGAAAAAAAGCTTTTCACATTGAACTGTATAAATACGCAGAACACAGGAATCTGCAACCAAGTGTGCATCCCAGGAAGAGCAGAAAATTCGATCGACTCTGCTGTGGACTGCACAACTTGTTACATAATACCTAAAACTGCAGTCAATTGACTCAGATTCAATAAAGTCTCTAACTTGTTAGGAGGTGTGACTTGAATGCAGTAGGTATTTAGCTGTGGCTCTTTACAAAAATACAGAAATATTTACCCCTAGCCTTGAAAATGAGGAGAAAGTCAACAGCACATTGGTAACATTTGAAGGGAGGGGCAATGCTAATACCAGGTTTGTCTGCCTAATCACACTTCAGAGCACTTACAGCTCTGCTTTGTGTTGACAACAGAGACATGGAAGCAGGAGCAGGTTTTGTGAGAGCTGTTATTATAGCTATGCTATAGCACATCCTTCACTAAGGGTGGTTGACAGATACTTGTCAAAACCTGATTCTCGGGGCAAAGTTATCTCCACCATGTCCAAATGCATCAAGATGACATTTGTTGTGCTTCATCTGTGCATGATGGCGATTCTATTTTCCTTGATAATGGTTGTTGAAAATCAGGAGTTCCTAACTGACAGAATGCAAACCAATCACAACCAGGACAACTTGCTGGATTCAATTACAGCTTAGTAAAGCAAAGTAAACTGGAAGGTATCTGGTGAATTAGTTTCAAACTAAACTAGTGAATTCTTTCAATCTAACTTTCAAAGAGCTGTGAATGGAAGATACATGTACAGGTGTAGTAAAAGATTCAAATAAATTCAAGAAATAACCAAATATATCTGTGTATTCCACAGGGACGCATACTGATAAAAACGTACCATTTTTCACAGTTACAGTGATGTAACTGTCAGTGATGTTACACGTCATGGAGGGGCTCAAAAATATCAGGCTAGGGCATACAGTGTCTTTATCATTGTTTTTTAATCAAATACCAAATGCCTATCTAGTGATTACTTACTATTTGTTTTGGCAACAAATTTAAATGATAAATATATCTATGATCAATTCTTAAAAGAAAGACAGCCACTGCTAAAAAACTCTTTTTTGAAAACGTACTAAAATAAATATACCGTACTGTACATGTAGTCCTGAGAAACCAAATGATAGAAATCTTGTTTTTAATAACAAAACAGGAAAAACCTGAAGATCATGGCATTTTATTTCTGCTTGGCATAAACATAAAAATAGCAGGAGTCATGCTTTTGGTGAGAGCCAAGAAAACTAGATACACTATGTGGCCTCCCTTTGTTTGTAACTTTTCTTATAAAGTTCTTGTCACAGACCTGGCTGACTAATTTTAACCTCACCCAAGGACAGCTCAGTAGGCATACAGTATGTAGACAGCTTTGGCCTAAAGTATATTTTACAATGTACGTACCTAACATCAGTCCTCAAGAGGGTTCCTGCTTGTACTACATTTCTCAATAACAGTTTTGCATACCCCTGTCAGAGCCAAAACAGCTGACATCTCACCAGGCTGGAAGCTCCCACTTTGCTCTTCTTTTTGTAAGAAATGTGTTATAGCAGTCTGAAAGTAGTTCTCAGTCAAGTTCCAAAGTGGCTAAAGTAAAGTCAGCAGACCAAAGGCCGTGGTCTACGATCACAGGTTTGATTCATGACTTAATGAAACCAATTAACATTTATTTTAAATTAACATTTAATTTATCAAAATCCCAGTGTTGCAAAGTATGAATGGCTGTTCCACATATACACTAAGTCAAATGTCTGTAATCTGTAATTATTTTAAAATTTAATAAATCAACTACCTTTTAAATTGAAGGTCATTTGATCTATTATCAGCAAATTCGAGCAAACAGACAGTAAATGATGAGAGCGTCAAACTGCTCACCCAGTACTTGATATACAGTATAAGTACTGGTACGATCTTTACTGCTAACAGTAGATGAGCTATTCTTTGTCACCACTTTGGTCTTAAATGTTTACTGCTAACAGTAGATGAGCTATTCTTTGCCACCACTTTGGTCTTAAATGTTGAGGTCTTGTGAATATACAGGTATGGTACAGATTTATATCTGCTGTCCTGCCAAAAAACAAATGGGTTCTAGTCACTTTGAGCATCTTTTAGTTTGAGAAAGGGATATACACACCTTTGTTCTGGATGTGGTGCACATGGTTTGCCACATCTTCTCTGGCATGATAGGTGTGAACTACATGTCATTGTTAATGAAATGGCAAGAAATGCTGCAGCTTCTGAACTGCATGCAAACTGAGCCAGTGTTGCGCAATTCATGAATCACACTGTCAACAGCCACAGGCAAGATTTAGTGCTGAGGTAAGATTTCTATTGTTTTCTTTTATTGTAAAAGAATTACGGGGTGTTATGGTCAAACAGAGGTAGTTAAGGTTAGACATCTAAAAGTAATTAAGTCAGTCCTGACACCAGCACAGGCAAAAATATAAAAAAATAAATAATATCAAACCCCAATTCTGAGATAGTACCAAGCGAGGTCATATGTTTTTCTGTGTGCAATTTGGCAGTGGAAAATTAAACAGGTGATAGTTCGAAAGATAAATATTTATTTCTCACTAATGTAGACATACAAAACTGCTCATATTTACAGCAATGTACAATAGAATTTAGTTTTCAGATTTTAGCACTGACCTTTCCCAGATTTAATGAGTACATCTGTATGCTTGATCAGACTAATGGACTCTGAAGGAAACATATATCTTTCTCATAGTAAATAAGACTGCTGTCATAAACTAATCTTAGCTGTTCTTGCTAGCTAGGTACCTCTTGCAATATGTAAAACATTTAATACCCCCTTTATCCAGTGACCCCAGACACCCTGGAGCCTCAGGTTGAGACTCAAGCCCCCATCTAAAATAAGTGTCACTTTTATAGCCATTTTAAAGACCCCCA